TAAACTATTTCGTTTCTTAAATGCAATAGTATGTATGCCTACAAGAAGTAAAGTGCAGCCCCCTCAATTTCTTTGTCTAGCCCACCTCAGCCTTCCCATCAGGAAGAGGCTTGCACCACCCCTGTATTTACATTAAAATATGTCTAATTTTTCACTTGTTGTTATGTTAAGCGTTGTTTTACTATTACTATGTTCACTCCATTTTTTTCTCTTTTTTAGTTCTAAAATACAGCAATAACTAATTATCATAATAATATATCATTAAATAGTGTGGGAATGAAGCTCGTGATAAGATATGCACTAAATAAAGCCAAAGAAGCAAATTATTCTTGGTCAACTTTATACAAATATGGATTTTACGTTAAAGTCGTGAAATGGTGGTATATATATCTTGTTCAATCATATTACAAATGTTTATTATGTATCTAAACTTTAAGGTGGATAAAGTAAAGGAAAACGAATCAAGTAACACAACAAACATAAATTCAACTATACTTACTTTATTATGGAAGAATTCCTATAAAATGAGGCATCAAATAAAGCAGAATTAGTATATTCAACTTTGTTTTTATTTAGAAGTTCGTTACGGCTCATCCTGTATATATGGGAAAAGCTTAAAAACACAATATTTAGGTTTTTCTTTATAATTTACGTATATATGATGTACACATTTGTGTATGTACACAGCGTGGTCACAAGTAAATATACACCACCTTTAGCTCCATTAGCTACAACACGTATAAACCAAATGATTTCTGCTGTTCATTATTACATAATTGATGGTGTTTCAGGTTGGGATTCTTGAGTGTACACAGCGTGGTCACAAGTAAATAGACACCACCTTTAGCTCCATTAGCTACAACACGTATAAACCAAATGATTTCTGCTGTTCATTATTACATAATTGATGGTGTTTCAGGTTGGGATTCTTGAGTGTACACAGCGTGGTCACAAGTAAATATACACCACCTTTAGCTCCATTAGCTACAACACGTATAAACCAAATGATTTCTGCTGTTCATTATTA